TTTTAACTTCAAACAAACTATCATATTTTAACTTCAAACAAGATGTCATATTTTAACTTCAAACAAACTATCATATTTTAACTTCAAACAAGATATCATATTTTAATTTTAAACAAGCTATCATATTTTAATTTCAAACAAGATGTCATATTTTAACTTCAAACAAACTATTATGTTTTAAATTCAAACAAGATGTCATATTTTAATTTCAAACAAGATGTCATATTTTAACTTCAAACAAGATGTCATATTTTAACTTCAAACAAACTATCATATTTTAACTTCAAACAAAGTATCATACTTTAACTTCAAACAAACTATCATGTTTTAACTTCAAACAAACTATCACATATTAACTTCATGTTTTAAAAAGAGACAGAAGATCTCCTCGCAGTTTGTTCAAAAATATTCTATCTTCTCCTTCAAACCCAACTAGAATGAAAAAAAGACACAAGAATACTTGATCGTAGGTCACTTAGGTAAAACGTAAGGTCAACACTCGATCATCGAGTAAATCAATCTGACAGTGTACACCGATCAGTGTCTGGGTACACTCCGCGAAAGCTCGTATAATTCCCTAGCAAACATTCTTCCGATATCTAATTAACGTTTCGTCGAACAGCCACGGCACCAGATGCGCCGGCGAGGTAGCAGCCGCACGAGACAACGGCGTGTGCGGTGTGGGTGTCGCATACGACTCGAAAGTCGCCGGCATTCGAATGTTGGATCAGCCTTACATGACCGATCTGATCGAAGCTAACAGCATGGGACACGAACCTGACCTCATAGACATTTATAGCGCCTCATGGGGACCGACGGACGACGGCAAGACGGTGGATGGGCCAAGAAACGCGACGATGAGAGCCATCGTGCGAGGAGTTAACGAGGTGCGTATTAGTGTCACGTTTTTCTCTCTTATATCACGAGGTGTCCCGTTGCTTCGACGACGGAGAAATTAACTGGCTTACCTTGAACTAACTTCGGTTTCGATCTCACCCTTTTATGCCGCTCATTTTTGGCACTTTATCGTTTCTATGATATTTAACACTAAACTAAAAGGTGTACTTAAATTGAAATTAAAAAATATACAAACGATGAAACATAACCACACACATTTATTCACCTTGATGAAAATCAATGCTGATTTCAAGGAATGTACTTTCACAAAATGTGTTTGGTAATTTTAGTGTTAAACTAAAAGGTACAGCAAGTTTGACGTCAATGAGAAAATGAAATATCGATGTAAATTAAATTATACTAACTTGATAATTGTCTGTTCATTTAAAGGACTAGTATAATTGAATAAATATGAGTGCAGCAAAATGAAATAACTTCCAGTATAATGACTATCTTTATCACGGTATACTTTTATGAAAGTTTGCAGCTCCAGGTTTGACGTTGCATCTATTTCCTTATCGCCTTTATCCCGCCTTTCGAGCCTTTGATGACAACGGAGAAGATATTAAAGTTAAAGGTCCTTTGTCGTGGAAACAGATTTAATATCGAATGCGCCAGCCACTCGAATTTCATTGAAATTAATTAATTTAATTATCGATTCGCGGAAAGAACAATCGCCTACGCTCGAATTTGTTGTCCCCGAGAAAAAGCAATTACGGTAAATAAATAAATACATGTATAGACAGCGTTTACTCGTATATCGATCCAATTATCTCGATAATTAGGTCTATCAGACCGCGACCATCTGCCACGATGAATTATCGACGTTTTCATTCGAAACGAAGGGAGCACTGATTGGATTCGATGCAATTATTGGTTGCTTCTCGGCCGTGCTCGTAAATATCTTGAAAACTCCGCGTTCGCTTTTTTACTACGGACAAAATCGAATTACTGCTCGAACGCGTTTAATGCACTTTTCATCCTGCGACCTGTGGCACGTGTTATGTGCTCCATAAATTTCATTTTGTACTAGTATGCATCGCTGCTTTCCGTAGGAAAAATATTTCCCTCATCGCGCTGCGCAACGTACGATAACGAATAGTTAAATTTATACGCGTCGACAAATTTCAAATTTGCAAATATGTTATTTTACCTTGGATATAAATTAATAAAGTGTTATCGAGGAAATTGCAAATTTTACACGAACGTTAATCAAGTTATCGATATGCATTGTTAATCGAGGAAGTTATTGAAAATCTTTGATGCCGAATATCATGTACGAATGAAATTACTTGATTAAATAAATTAATTATGGAAACATGAAGTTCTTTGTCAGATACAAATGACAAAGCACAACAAAAGTGGCGCGATTAAATTATCAGAAGTGCATGAGCCCGCAGCGCAGGGAATTATCGAGTCCTCCGAACGAAGATACAATAACCAAACTGTCTCTCATTTCCATAATACTGTATAATTAATAGTCTATATAATAAAAGAATAAGAAAATGTCTCAGAGATCATAAGAACGATAAAAGATCCAAAGTACACAAAAATTATAATCAACAGCGAAATAGTAATGGAAGGGTGAGAAGATTGAATAGTGTTGCAAACAAAACTAAAATACCCAAACCTTCCATAAACCAATAAAATATCTCAAATATCATAAAAATCCCAAAGTACTAAAAATGATAATTAACAGAAGTAGGCCTAGAAGAGGCCTCCCATAATTCCCCAAACCAATAAAACGTCCCAAATATAGAACTGATAAAATCCAAAGTACCAAAAATTATAATTGACAGCGAAATGGAAGGGTGAGATCAAATAATATTCCAAACAAAATAGCCAAACCTTCCACAACTCCATAAACCAATAACAAAACCAATAAAACGTCTTAATGAACAAGCATGTGTGGATCATATCTATGTATAAGTCAATATTCTTCATCCACAAGGTAAAATCGAATTACTGCTCGAACGCGTTTAATGCACTTTTCATCCTGCGACCTGTGGCACGTGTTATGTGCTCCATAAATTTCATTTTGTACTAGTATGCATCGCTGCTTTCCGTAGGAAAAATATTTCCCTCATCGCGCTGCGCAACGTACGATAACGAATAGTTAAATTTATACGCGTCGACAAATTTCAAATTTGCAAATATGTTATTTTACCTTGGATATAAATTAATAAAGTGTTATCGAGGAAATTGCAAATTTTACACGAACGTTAATCAAGTTATCGATATGCATTGTTAATCGAGGAAGTTATTGAAAATCTTTGATGCCGAATATCATGTACGAATGAAATTACTTGATTAAATAAATTAATTATGGAAACATGAAGTTCTTTGTCAGATACAAATGACAAAGCACAACAAAAGTGGCGCGATTAAATTATCAGAAGTGCATGAGCCCGCAGCGCAGGGAATTATCGAGTCCTCCGAACGAAGATACAATAACCAAACTGTCTCTCATTTCCATAATACTGTATAATTAATAGTCTATATAATAAAAGAATAAGAAAATGTCTCAGAGATCATAAGAACGATAAAAGATCCAAAGTACACAAAAATTATAATCAACAGCGAAATAGTAATGGAAGGGTGAGAAGATTGAATAGTGTTGCAAACAAAACTAAAATACCCAAACCTTCCATAAACCAATAAAATATCTCAAATATCATAAAAATCCCAAAGTACTAAAAATGATAATTAACAGAAGTAGGCCTAGAAGAGGCCTCCCATAATTCCCCAAACCAATAAAACGTCCCAAATATAGAACTGATAAAATCCAAAGTACCAAAAATTATAATTGACAGCGAAATGGAAGGGTGAGATCAAATAATATTCCAAACAAAATAGCCAAACCTTCCACAACTCCATAAACCAATAACAAAACCAATAAAACGTCTTAATGAACAAGCATGTGTGGATCATATCTATGTATAAGTCAATATTCTTCATCCACAAGGTTTTACATCTATCATTTCATACCTTCATACATAATTCTACGTTTATGTAACTATTATTATAAACTTGACTTGCACCATGATGATTTTCAGCTCCTCCCATAAAAAAAACATAATACAGGCTGTCTCACAACTCAGGGACCTACATTATTTGTGAAACACCCTGTATGTGATGTAATTTACATCTATCATTTCATACCTTCATACAAAATTCTACGTTTATATAACTGTTATTATAAACTTGACACCATCATGATTTTCATCCCCTCCCATAAAAAAAACATAATACAGGCTGTCTCACAACTTCATTTCAGGGACCTACATTACTTATGAGACATTCTGTATGTAATGCATGAACTATCAAGAACAGACAAGAGAGGATAGCATGAATATTTGTTTGTTAACTCAGAATTAATTTACCTATAAAGATTAGAAGACAAGAGAGGATAGCATGAATATTTGTTTGTTAACTCAGAATTAATTTACCCATAAAGATTAGAAGATTAGAGAGAGGTTTGCATGTTCAGCACGTCGTAACGATCTTCCGAACATGGAAGGACAGCCGATAATCATTAGAATCTGCAACGTTCGAGGAATGCTGTCTACCGTATCGGAATCTCCCTTAACAACACATCGTTACGTACACGAGTTATGACAGGTCGTTATGTGGCGCATCAGTGGGCAATTGGAAATTCTTTGGGGATGGGGTTGCCTTCGCTGAAAATTGCCGAAGTTGTCAGGCTATTTTGTCGACCGTGAATTTTCTTAATATTCTTCGGATAATTGTTTATTTTTAATATGTGGAGCGAGGTAAAATATTTTATATGCAAGGTGGATGATTTTATATTTTTGGGATATTAATTCGTGGCGATGTGGAAAATAATTTGTGTCGATGGAAAATAATGTCGATGTGGAGAATAATTTGTGTCGATATTAAATTTTGTGGAGAAGGAAGTGGACAATCATTTGTGTCGATATTAAATATTTGTGGAGAAGGAAGTGGAAAATAATTTATGTCAATCTGGACAATCATTTATGTCGATATTAAATTTTGTGGAGAAAGAAGTGGACAATCATTCGCGTCAATATTAAATATTTGTAGAGAAAGAAGTGGAAAATAATTTATGTGGACAATAATTCATGTCGATATTAAATTTTGTAGAGGAAGAATTATTACTTGTTTCCTTATAAACACTGATTTTATACGATTTTATGGACTAGTCTCTATAATAACATACCTTTGTATTTACAGGGGAGAAGAGGGTTAGGAAACATTTACGTTTGGGCATCCGGAGACGGCGGAGAAGAGGATGACTGTAATTGCGATGGCTATGCAGCCAGCATGTGGACTGTCAGCATTAATAGCGCAATCAACGACGGGCAAAATGCTCATTACGACGAGAGTTGTTCGAGCACCTTAGCCTCCACGTTCAGCAACGGCGCTAAGGATCCAAATACAGGCGTGGTGAGTAGCCATTTTATGCCTTGATCTACCGCCATTTTGTGCTCCGTCTACGATCACTCTAGTATGGTGTACAAAATAATATTCTGCATTACATTCTCTCATTCAGACTTTTATTTAAGTCCCACACTTATTACATCTTTTTAAAAAATTATTCTATATAATTGAACATTGATATGGTCTTCAACTAACATTTTCATTAGCTCCTTTTTATAAAATTTTTATTTAAAAAATGATTCTACATAATTAAACACTGACATGGTTTTTGACTAACATTTTCATGTGTCCCTTTTTAAGAAATTTTTATTAAAAAAATTATTCTATATAATTGAACACTGATATGGTCTTCAAGTAATATTTTCATTAGCTCCTTTTTATAAAATTTTTATTTAAAAAATGATTTTAGATAATTGAACTCTGACATGGTCTTCAACTAACATTTTCATATACTTCATTTCAAAAAATTTTTATTTAAAAATTGATTCTACATAATTGAACACTTATATTGTCTTCAACTAACATTTTCATAATCTTCTTTTTATAAAATTTTTATTTAAAAAATGATTTTAGATAATTAAACTCTGACATGGTCTTCAACTAACATTTTCATATACCTATTTTTATAAAATTTTTATTTAAAAAATGATTTTAGATAATTAAACTCTGACATGGTCTTCAACTAACATTTTCATATACCTATTTTTATAAAATTTTTATTTAAAAAATGATTTTAGATAATTAAACTCTGACATGGTTTTTGACTAACATTTTCATATACTTCTTTTCAAAAAATTTTTATTTAAAAAATGATTATACATAATTAAACTCTGATATGGTCTTCTACTAACATTTTCATAATCTTCTTTTTATAAAATTTTTATTTAAAAAATGATTTTAGATAATTAAACTCTGACATGGTCTTCAACTAACATTTTCATATACTTCATTTCAAAAAATTTTTATTTAAAAAATGATTATACATAATTGAACACTGATATTGTCTTCAACTAACATTTTCATAATCTTCTTGTTATAAAATTTTTATTTAAAAATTGATTTTAGATAATTGAACTCTGACATGGTCTTCAACTAACATTTTCATATACTTCATTTCAAAAAATTTTTATTTAAAAAATGATTGTACATAATTGAACACTTATATTGTCTTCTACTAACATTTTCATAATCTTCTTTTTATAAAATTTTTATTTAAAAAATGATTTTAGATAATTAAACTCTGACATGGTCTTCAACTAACATTTTCATAATCTTCTTTTTATAAAATTTTTATTTAAAAAATGATTTTAGATAATTAAACTCTGACATGGTCTTCAACTAACATTTTCATAATCTTCTTTTTATAAAATTTTTATTTAAAAATTGATTTTAGATAATTAAACACTGACATGGTCTTCAACTAACATTTTCATAATCTTCTTTTTATAAAATTTTTATTTAAAAATTGATTTTAGATAATTGAACTCTGACATGGTCTTCAACTAACATTTTCATATACTTCTTTTCAAAAAATTTTTATTTAAAAATTGAGTCTACATAATTGAACACTGATATGGTCTTCAACTAACATTTTCATAATCTTCTTTTTATAAAATTTTTATTTAAAAAATGATTTTAGATAATTAAACTCTGACATGGTTTTTGACTAACATTTTTATTATAACATTTTTATAATTCAATTAAATTTGATTTTTATCTTGGTAAGAGGTATTTAATTTAACTCTGTAATTGCTTATAACGTTACAAAATATTTTATACCTGCTTCAACTTCAGATAAATTCAAGGTGGTAAAAAGTAAACTTGATATTAATTTGCAGCGCGTTAATTTATATTTCACACGACGGTAACTTCGGAAATTTGCTCGAAACTTGGGGCAATTATACAGAACTCCAAAAGTCTCAAGTATTCGAGACACGGAGGGGAAAAATATATTAACCCTGTAAACACGAAGTTGGAATCCATGGAACGATTCGGATGAAACCGCCACGAAATTCCCGTAAGAGCCTTACGTTTTTAAAGGCCAGTTTAATTTTAACAGGGGATTATGTTGTGGACATTTATTGCGCAAACCATATTGAAAGAGAAGTCTGTAGTTATTGAACGGTAGCGTGAATACGATAAAAAAGGAACAAGCGAGAGTCCTATTCAATACAAGCTTTTATTAAACTATTCGTTAACTGCGTTATCCTCATCGTTTAAAATCCTTCTATCCGTGGAAAACATGATTCTGAATGGATTTCACCTCCCACCCTCGTTTTCATGGGTGTTTTTGCGCTCGATAGCCGGGATTTTATGGACGAACACGGTCCGCCTGGATTTCCAGTGTTCTCTTTGTTCCACGAAAATTTCACGCTCGAACGACGGGGAAAATAAAGAGGAAGGTACCAGTGTTCGCGGCGTAGATTACATGGATCAACTTCTAAATAAAACTTATTTACGACTGTAGAAGAAAAGATTTATCTGTGATCGTTCAAAAATTTAATATCCCGCTCGATATTTCAGCGAACTTCAACGGGGATGAAATTGTCGAATCAGATTGTAAAAACATTTTACGTTTGGGTTAAACGATATTTACGGGGGCGAAGGTTTCATTCTACTTTATCACTTTTCAAGTATTATTTCGAAGCAATCTTCCGAAGTTCCGAAGGTGTCTGAAAGCCCGATTGCACCGGTGTTTATCTCGATTTTATCACCATCTCGAGCAATCGAACGCAAACTTTTAATGCGAAAACTTTGTCGATATTCGCGGGGCACGCGTGGATGCCCTCTTCAGGAAATTATAGCGTTCGCAGAGTTTAATCGCCTTTGGGAGTCGTTGCATTCAATCGTGAGCGTACGAGATTTTAGCGGGGACTATCAGTTATTTTATAGTTGAACCTTTGGACAGGTAACGTTTAAGGGAAGCATAACTTTAATTAATCTTTTACCGATAAACCTGGGTCAATTGTAGCCCCGTTTGAAGTAATAAGAGCTCAATAAAACAGCAATATTAATAAAAGAAAAAATGTAAAGAGTCATCCTAACCTAATCTAACTTAACCTGACTCCGTTTGAAGTGTCTAGAGCTTAAAAAAACAGGAATATTAATACAAGAAAAAATGCAAAGTCAACCTAACCTATTCTAACTTAATCTAACTCCGCTTGAAGTATCAAGAGATCAAAAAAACAGCAATATTAATATAAGAGAAAATGCAAAGAGTCAACCTAACCTAACCTAAACTAATCTAACTCGGTCTGAAGTATTCAGAGCTAAAAAAAAACAGGAATATTAATACAAGAAAAAATGTAAAGAATCAACCTAACCTAATCTAACCTAACCTGACTCCGTTTGAAGTATTCAGAGCTCAAAAAGACAGGAATATTAATACAAGAAAAAATGTAAAGAGTCAACCTAACCTAACCTAACCTAACCTGACTCCGTCTGAAGTATCCAGAGCTAAAAAAAAGAGCAATATTAATACAAGAAAAAATGTAAAGAATCAACCTAACCTAATCTAACCTAACCTGACTCCGTTTGAAGTATTCAGAGCTCAAAAAGACAGGAATATTAATACAAGAAAAAATGTAAAGAGTCAACCTAACCTAACCTAAACTAATCTAACTCCGTCTGAAGTATTCAGAGCTAAAAAAAAACAGGAATATTAATACAAGAAAAAATATAAAGAATCAACCTAACCTAACCTAACATAACTTGACTACGTCTGAAGTATCCAGAGCTCAAAACAACAAGAATATTAATACAAGAAAAAATGCAAAGTCAACCTAACCTAATCTAACTTAATCTAACTCCGTTTGAAGTATCCAGAACTCAAAAAACAAGAATATTAATACAAGAAAAAATGCAAAGAGTCAACCTAACCTAACCTAACTTAACCTGACTACGTTTGAAGTTAAAGAGCCCCAAAAAAACAGTATAAGGAAAAATGTGAAGTCAGAGGGTTATGTTAGGTAAAAAAGAAAGATGAGTCAGGGATTTGAAATTGTGAGAGTATGCAGAAAGATTGTCGCAAAAATGGAGCTCAATTAAAACGTCCCGTTAAAATGCAAATGACGTAGATTCTCGTAATGAGCCGTGCTGGGTAACGCGTCAGAGTAAATTCTAATTTCAGGGGAGAAACGTGCTCGCTCGCAATTAGGCGTTCACGGTGTCCTTTTCTCTTTTCGTAGGCTACTACTGATCTTTACGGTGAATGTACCACGACTCATAGTGGGACATCCGCTGCTGCACCGGAAGCTGCTGGGGTCTTCGCTCTTGCTCTTGAAGCTAAGTGAGTATCTTAACAAATAACTGATCTAACATATCTAATTTTAATGATTTGAGTTGTGAAATTTTTGATTTTGTGTGTTACTGTTCATACATATGTAGTTAAACCTGTATTCATATATATGTATATGCATTGAAATTTATTTGAAGTTATGTTTATATGTACTGAAGTTTATTTACATACTTGTACTAAAATTTATTTGTATTCATATCTATAGGTATTGAAGTTCAGCTACATCCGCATACATGTCCACCTATGGTCTTCCACATTCACATTTATCTGCGTTCACATCTACATGCATTGAAGTTCATCCACATCCACATTTACCTGCGTTCACATCTACATGCATTGAAGTTCATCCACATCAACATCCACGTCCACCTACGTTCATCCACATCCACATTTACCTGCGTTCACATCTACATGCATTGAAGTTCATCCACATCCACATTTACCTGCGTTCACATCTACATGCATTGAAGTTCATCCACATCAACATCCACGTCCACCTACGTTCATCCACATCCACATTTACCTGCGTTCACATCTACATGCATTGAAGCTCATCCACATCCACATCCACATGTACTAAGATTTATGTGAAGTCACATCTATATGTACTGATATGTTCATCCACATCCAGATGCACTAAAATTGATCTAGATTCATATCTACATATATTGAAGTCATCTACATGCATTGAAATTTATCCACATTCATCATTTGCATGTATTGAAGCTCATCCACATCCTCATACACATCCACATGCACTAAGATTTTGTCTGAAGTCACATCTATATGTACTGATATGTTCATCCACATCCAGATGCACTAAAATTGATCTGGATTCATATCTACATATATTGAAGTCATTTACATGCACTGAAATTTATGTATATTCATCATTTGCATGTATTGAAGTTCATCCACATCCTCATACACATCCACATGCACTAAGATTTATCTGAAGTCACATCTATATGTACTGATATGTTCATCCACATCCACATGCACTTAAATTGATCTAGATTCATATCTACATGCATTGAAGTTCATCCACATGCACTGAAATTTATGTACATTCACATCTGCATGTATTGAAGCTCATCCACATCCTCATACACATCTACATGTACTAAGATTTATCTGAAGTCACATCTATATGTACTGATATGTTCATCCACATCCA